GTCGCAAGCTGTGTTTGTCACCACAATGATCGAAAGCAGCGTCGCTCAGGCATTGAAAGAGGCTGCGATGCACAGGCCCGGCGTAGGCGATGCTGCCGGAAGAATCCGTGCGAGTGGATGAAGCTGCGGTGCAGACTAGAGCACCGAAGGCAGCCACAGCATAAGAATGTGTGAAAACCCTGCATGCCTCGCGGGTAAAACTCCAAGCAGTTCGTGCTGTGTGTGCCTGGCATGGCTTCTCGGGTGTTCCCAGAGCCAAGAACCTCGCTTCTGGGATTCCGGCGGATGGCCCAATCCTGGAGCTCGAGGATCCTGAACGGTAGAATCCCGGTAAAGGGTCGAGAACCAAAAGCGGGTCAAGATACGAGTAATTTGATCTAACTGCATCCAAATGGCTTGGTGCACATGTGGACCTGAGGCGGTCATGCTCTTGGAGATATGCTCGGGCTGCATGGGATTCAAGCTCGAGGCAGTTGCAGTCAGTCTTTTGCGCCGACCAACTTGCATCAGCTCAGTTGTTCTTTCTCAGGTTCGACATGCTCTCAGTTCCAAGCCTCAGGAAGGTCTTCGGTTCGGGATCGGAACAGAAAGCTGAAAAGTCAGGATGTACCCATAGCTCGGCTCGGCCATCGTTGCGAAGTTAGTTAAATCATCACATCAATTGATGTGATGCGTCTGCCATGAAAAGACGCGCTGACCGTCCCAGCTACATCTTCTGCTTCGCAGACTTGCAACCAGGAGCACTTAAAGGTAATGTGATTGACACCCCATCAGACCATCCTTTCCACTTATCCCAATCCTGCAGCTTACACGAACGGACAGCAGGATGGAAGTCCGACTGGATGAAACAGCGACTCGCACATTGCGTGGACACAGTGAAACATCCGCGAATCCGCACTGATCCTGCAGAAATGCAAGGATGTGTCTGTTCTGGAAACACTTCTGGGTAAATTCAGAGCTGTGAAGCTCTGCGTGTGCTAGTACACTGCTGTTGCAGAAACAGATGCAGGTTCGTCGGCGATCAACCGATAGCATCATCATTGATGCGCTCACAACTTCTTCATATCATTGGTACTCTCAGTACATCTCAGTACTAAACACCTTGAAAAATCTGCTGAACCTTCCTTTGCAAATACAGCGGCTTCTTGCTTCTTTGATGATATAGCACCACCGCTTCTCATTCAATTCTGGATATCGGCACGCGCAAGCGCGTGCATGTGCTTCGCATCTCGCTAGAAGCCGCATGACCAGATCAGCAAATACAGCTGTGGCACACAGCCTACTGCCAGCAAACATTCCAGTGCTGCCTGCAAGCTGTCAGATTCACGGCGCTTCAGATTCACTGCAGCTAAAGGAAGGCTACATTGGACTGCGGGCAGTTGGCTTGGGCCGTTGCGGTGCGGGCATGCTTGCTGCACCAAAGACAGAGCCTTGTGATGGCACGTCCAGTGTGCCAGCAAGAAGAAAACCTGTTGCCTGTAGTAAAAGCGTAGCACATCCCAAACCGGTTTCACGTGCGGTTGCCCCGCAGCGAG